TTTCCAACCCAAACCATTCTATGATTATCCATGATTCTATTCAGAAACTACTTCAAGATCAATTAAGGTAGGGTAAAAATGACAAAACCATCAGCTAAGGACCTCACTACTCTGTTGCATATACTATTCATCCTTATTACAGCATCCTAGGCTACAGTCTCAAAAGCAAAAGAGAAATATAGTCATATCCTAATGCAATTTTCATCAAGTTTTGTCAAAGAAAATTGTAATGCTCAACTACCGTATTTAAAATATGTAATGATTTAAACAGGATCGAAATGCTTCAAGTCACCCATCTAATAAACATATTTCTCTGTTAGTCAACACTATATAGCAAATACAAAAATATAGATGATTCAGATTATATATGGCCCATCACACACTAATTAGTAAATCACAAATCAATCGTGTAGTAAATAATCACATACCTAGTTCCCTCAGTCTTTGGAAAGAAATCTGGTGAATCTTTTTAGTCACTTTGGCACCAAGGATGGCTTAAAATGCCATCAATTCCATTTAAACTGCTTCAGAGAAGACTCTTATCTTATGGTTGTTCCTTAACTGTCAGATTCCACCAACTTCAAAACCATGTCTCTTCCATTTTTTTAAATAAAACCCACAACAAACAAACAAACAAACAAACAAACCCCTAAAACCCCCAAGATGAACTACTGCCTATTTTGCCAAAGATGCTGATCCACCTACATACTAAATCTGCATGTCTGATCTTTGTGAATTTTTTATTGTTGCCATAAGAAATGTTTCAAGAGCAGCTGCTTTTCTAAGCCAAGTAGCTTCAAATAAGTAGCTCCAAAAATCTATTTGTGAGGTCTACAAAGCTCAGGTTTATAAGCAATCCACGTATAAGAAGTGTAAAAATCCATTAAGTTTGACTCAGTTGCAGTCATGTGTCTACAGAAATAGGGCTTGCTGATTGGACAGAGTAAAGAAACAGCAGTCTAGAGCAAGGAGCATTAAGAAATGACATGGAGGGAGTATTTTATTGGAGTGACAAGAGGGAAGTCAGAACATGTTAACTTTGGAAGCATCCCCTCTGTAGAGTATTCTCCAGATTCATGGGATGGCCATCCCGTCCTCCCATGTGAACATCCCAGTGACAGCTCATAAAGTGCATGTGAAGGTGCCCTTTGAGAGCCCTCTTCACTGACAAAATTTACAGCAACATACCTGCTACTTCCTGCCATCTAGTGAGGTTTAATGCCCTGCATTCATGCCAGGAAGTGTAATGTGAACCATGCAAAATACAACCGAATCACTGAAAATTTGCACATAAAAAGGTTTTGCTCTCACAAGTTGACCAATATAACAGTATTTTCCAAAGATGAATCTGAATTAAAAAAACTCCTGAAATTTTAACTACATTCAAAGTATACACAAGAAAAAATATATTACTTTTCAAAGTTATAAACAAATTCAAATTTGGCTGTGTGAAGGAAAGCATGCATAAATGAGATCTCAATTTCTGTTACCTTTGCAATGGTCTCGTGCAGACTGAAGGAGGGATCCAGCTCTTCAGTTTTTGTTGTATGTACAGGAAAAAGAGCTTCGGAGAGAAAGCTAGAATTCTGTGAGAAAGAAATAAGAAGCCTTTTAGGATTCCACATTGATTTTCTTTCACATGCTTATTGGATTTTGTTGAGAGATTGAAAAACCCTTCAAATTGTTCTTAAGTTTTGCCAATTATTAAACTTATTTCACTGATCTAATTAACTGATTCCAACTCCCTGAAACAGGGAAAAAACCCTAAGTGTTATGACTTTATTTCTTGAATGGCAGTTGTCTTTGTAATTATGCTTCCAAAGCAGCTAAAAATTTTGCCTTGAGGGAGAAAAAAATATCCACACATTTCATTTGGAGCTAGGCAAGAATCAGACATTTTATTTAATATGTTATGATTTGGTCTTCAGAAGAAATGTAAACACATTAATCAAATAATGTATTTTCATCTTATGCAACCATCCTACGTCTGTATACAGTAATACAATCTACATAAAACGGGGGTTTGGTGAATTCCCTAGAATTATATTCTTCAGGTTGATCACTCTTTTCATAACTAAACAATCTTAATATATTATTTGCACAAGATGTTTGCCTCTTCTTGTACTGTAAGAAAGCAAGAAGTTAGGTTGCATACTTGCTGTCACAAGGAAACAGCAAACTGAAATCCAGGTGTGGATTGAAAAAAACACAAAACAATTTAAAAAAAACCAACCAAACAAGAAGCCTCAGAAGTGCACAGATGCCTAAAACTGAAATTATTTTAAACATATATTCCTGATCCTCATATAATAAAGCAACTGACCTGAAAAGAAAAATCTTTCTTTACATCACTTTTGTGGAGCACACCTAGTTTTGCTTTTTAGGCATGACCTGAACTACCTGTACCAGAAAAGCTAGGAACTTAGTGCCCATCTAATCCCCACCTGGTATAAAAATAGGAGTAGAGGTACACCTTGGTGGATTGAGATGCTTGATTTGGTAAGCATACTCTGAATACACTGTTCAGCAACAGAATGAGTTCAGTACAAAAGCACAGAAAACATAGCCAAAGTTATTTCAGAGATCAGCAGGAGTATGTGCCAGTGCATGAGTATCATGCCATTCTAAAATATACTAGCTTTGAGGAGTTCTTTTAAACATACTTATCAAAGTGAACTCTGATGCAGAAGCAACTAGGTTTTATGAGAACTGTATGCATTTACTTACATCCTGAAGAGGAATAAAACATCACCTCAAGCCCTCTGCCAAACTCTGGTTAGCTCTAGGCAACTAAGTTCAGCATCTCCTTTTAGATGATCTAAATCTTTCCTTGTCCATGAATCTTATTCTGGGTTTTTATTTGAATTTTGGATGCCAGAACCTAAATATATTATTGTGTTTAGCTAGAATACCCTATGGTCCTTTACTGTATTTCACATTTAGTGTGCAATGCATTGTGTGCCACACAGAATCATATACAGGCTTAACAGAGGGATTGACTGGGGACTGCAGAAAAACTACAAGCTCTTCATTAACATACTTCCTTCTAGCAAGTCTTTGCATCAGAGATCTGGGAAACTAGTCCTGTCCTTTCTTTGTGAGCCCTGGCGGAATCTCCAGGGAAGTATTCAGTTTCAGATGAAGTTAGGCTACTCCTAGAACTAGCATTTTGCAAGCATCTTTTAAATGACGTTGGGTTTTGGTGCCTTTTTTTTTTTTTTGGTTTGTTTTTTTTTCCTGCAGAGGGACAATAATAAGAATATAAGAAAACATATCCACTAAGAAGGGTTAAGCAAAGGAATGAGACTCATGAAATGAATATATTTTCCAGATTCATAATCATACTATTTTATATATGCTAGTTCCGGAGGTTGCAGGACCAAATATAAGAGTACCCCAATTCTGAGTGTAACTTTCGTGGTCTACGAATTTACATATAAAATAATACTAGCAGCAATAAGAAGCTGACAATATCACTGGCTCAGAAATGCCTAAATCCTCATGAGATTATACTATGATTACATCTTTATAAATAGAATTTTGAAACATGCCTGGAGTCTTTTCAGACTGAATTCCAAATAAAATCCACAGAAGCCCATGGTCCTGTATTTAAGATGAATAATTTTTCTGGTTTAGATTATTTCCCATCCTGTAAGCCAATATTGACAATGTTCTGGAAACATGTCCTTTTCAAATGCCAGCTTCCTCTATCTACTAAAATAATACTTCTTCACTTTCCTCCTCTTGATATATACTGATCTTCAATAGCTTCTGTCCTTATGCTCTGAAAAATTCTCATACTCTGTATTCCCAAGAAGTGAAGCCCCTTTTTAGGGGCATTAAACCTCGTAATGATGCCAAACACATTCTTCAACCACCATAAAGTTATTTGCACTGGCCAAATACAGCTTTGGTAAAAAAATATTAAAACTGATCTGAGCTTTAACAGGATTGATTTGTAAGGCTGGCACTCCACTACCTTTCAGAAAACACTACCACTTGCTAAAAACACTCTGCGGGGTTTATAGTTTTAAACATCAGGAAGTGAGCAAATAAGACAGACAAACAATTTAGATGCTTGTGTTTTGGCTTGCATAACCTCTTCTTATGTGACTGAGCTCTACTCTTTTGCATGCTGGGTTCTAAGCCATAAAAAGACTGAAGAAAAATAGTACTTTAGCGAAAAGAGCTGTTAACTTCAATTCAAACAAAAGAAGTTAAAAAGAAGCAGAGAAAAACTCTTACCCTCTTCCTTGAAACAAACAATGTAAAGTATCTTACTTATGTACCCTTGGGGATAAAATGGTGGTATCTGATATATGCCTGCTGAATCAGAATTATATTTGTACTAAACAATGCAGTACATTGCATGGATCCAAGAGGTAGTTCTTAACTGGGCACAGCATTGTTAGGTCTCTTCCCAGATAAGCATGAGACACAAATTCCTTATAATCATGTCAGTGACGTGGTATGGCAATATGCTCTGCTCAAAACCACTCAATGTAGGCGTAGTTCCCTACAGATGCCCAATCCACCTCCCGCACTAGTACATTCACAGCTAAATTAAGCTTCTTTGAAAAGCATTACACGGCTCATAGACATGATGTTCAAGACATTCAAGAAAACTCAGTGGAAGGTATGTCTCAAAAAGGTATATTATATTGCTGCTAAGTTTGATTGTTATTTTTTTTTTTCTAAAAATTAATGCCTCCATGATCTGTATTCTATCAGTATTTCCATACATTTCTAGAAGGTTATTTCTGGTTGTAAGCTCCTACCACTTTCTTTAAAAACAAAAAAAAAAAGAAAATAGCACTGACTCACACAAATTTTTGTGCTCAGTGATGCATCTGTGTGTTGTCACAGAAGCACCAGAATAATAAGTGAAGACATTCTTCCCTTCAACTATTTTTTTGTTTTGTTTTGTTTTTTTTTTTTAAGATTTCAGGGAAAAGATGCAGAAAGTAATTTATTATAAAGATAAAATACATACTTCAAGATTATTTCATAACAACAATTCATCTTCGTTTTAAGTCTGCACAGTAGTTTACAGAGCCATGTCATTTATCTGGGGGAAGGTTGAGGAACACTGTCATTCTGCTGTGGTAGTGCTAATGCTGTTCATCATCGTTCACATAATTGCAATCAATAACTTAAAAAGAATTACACTATTTATATTCATTCTTGAGTACCTTACTGAAAGTCAGTGAAGGGAATGATTACTGAATTAGATTTGCTACACAAGATCAGATTATTGCTCCATCTAGACAAGTACTTTTCTCTGGAATCTAAAACTTTATGGATCAGGTGCTTGTAAAGCAGGAAAACACTGCTTAACTGGCTTTTATCCCACCCTACTTGAACACACTTATGCAGCACAGGTTAGGATTCTAGTAATATTTCACTCACATCTCATTCAATAATGGGATAAACAAACACTGAAAGTATACATTCACACCCATTCTCTTAATTTAGGTGCCTTCGCGGATCAGGTTTTGCTCCTTTTACAACACTTAAATGGAAAGAAATACTCAGTCCTGAATGTTTGAATTACACAAGGAAGTGGTATGATTCAACCCCAAGTCAGCTAGACCTCTAATGTGGATTAGTCCTGGTATCTTCCCAGAGACAAACATCTCAAAGACAAACATTATTTTTCTTTAAAACTAGGTTTTATGAGAACTGCATGCAAGAAAACAGCCTTTATTAAAAAATGAACAACAATTCGTAAACAACTTTTGCGTGTTGTTTCTTTGAACAAGAAGTCATTATCTTTAGGTTCTTCCTCAGTCCAACAACCCTTCATTGACTTCCCATTTTGCAACAAACTCAGTCCAGTCCTTGCTAGGATCCCCAGGAAAAGAGTTGGATTTTTTTTCTACCTGTCTTGTGGTCAGACTACAAATACGCCCCTTTCTCTTCTCATCAGTCCCTTCCGTACTTGAAGGCTTGGAGGTCTTTTTGCTTTTTATTATTGCCTCCCTCTCAAATCAGTGCAGTTTAGCTCTCTTTTGTTAGCCACACCTATGCTCTGGAAAACTGCCAGATAAGTATGTTCCTCTTCTGAAAGCCACTGAACAAGCAACCCTCCTTCCAAAGGCTTCCAACTTAGTCAAGACCACAGCAGCTGGGCAAGGTACACATGTAGCCTTTGCTACTGCCTCAGCTGCAGCCTTTTAAAGGAACACAATGTGAATAAGCAATGACAAGCAAATAAATCCAAACGTATTTTGTCATCAAAAGAGCAAGTCATTTTGCTCATGATGGAATCAAGAGCCTTAGCTGCTTGCTAAGCTCTTGAAGTCATGCAGAATCACTGCTTTAAGCAGGCTTGAGCATTTTTACACAATTAAGCTTTGTGCCCAGAAAATAAAAGCTTTCCTATGAAGTGTACATGAAATAAAACAAATTACTACAACTTCAATATATTTGACCATATCCACGGATAACATTTACATTCTCTGTACATACAGATAGTACTCACAAATAGTTAAACCAAGATTACTAGATTACAATCTGAAATAACTTCCTGACATCTTGCTTTGCACTTATAAGGGGATATCTTTAAAACAGTTCCATTTTTTTT